ATATAGGTGATTGTAAACTTACTTATTTTTAAATGTCAAACAATTTGTATAAGCAAATAATCACGTCACCTAATTAATCATACAGCTATCTGAAAATCAGCTAATTCAATTGAATCAATTATTAGCAAATTCAGTAAGTGGCAAACAGAATAGTCAATTTGAATTTTCACTATAATTAGTTTCAATGATTTATAATTACAAGTTGAGTACACAATTTCTTATTATTTATTTACAAGCTATAAACCTATGAAAGATTCTTCTAAAATATTTATTTACATCAGTAAAGATTCCAAAATCTAAACCAGAAAGTAACTTGAGAAGAAGTGAAGATGCCTTCTTTGTTGACAAACTGCTTTTAAAAATGAAGCCAATATTTTGTGTAAAGGTCAAAACGGGACACACGCATATCTCTACAAAGAAATTGCAGAACATCAAATTTGCGCCAGAAATAAAGGTATATCCCATAAACAGGCAACTTGCATTTTATTTTATTTTATGATTTTTGGTGATTGGATTATTATTGCATAATATCATACAAATATGGTATAAGGCAAGCATGTTTCACAGACAATGATCCATAATTTTATCATGATTTTGAGGATAAGGGGCTTATCGATGGACCATAATTTTGTAGGGAAAAATGTACTATTTCATAGTTAATAGTTAGGTAGCAATATTGTGCATTTTTACAAGGTGAATAATTTTGTGTATCATTTGTGGCTAAGTATATGTAATTTTTTCATGTACATGTAGTGTAGTCCTTAAACCGTTGATCGGGCCCCACCGATTGAACAACTAATCCAACCNAGTCTAGGCCCAACCCAAGAACCAGTCAATCGAGCAAACGAGTCGAGCCTCGAGCATTATTTTAAGAGACTCGTAAGCTTGACGAGTCGCTCGAATTTCTATTTACATAAATAACCCCCATATAGTTTAATTATCGATAATAGAACACCGAGGCCAAATATGTCTATTTAGATTAAAAATAGTACAATTATATTTAAAATTTAGTTGTTAAAATTTCGAGCCGAACTCGAGCCATGTCGAGCATCGAGTTGAGCTCGAGCATTCATATTTTTTTCTCGAGTCGAGCAACATATTACATGGCTTGTCAAGCTTGAGTAGTGAAGAAAAAAGTTCGATTTGCGCTCAACAAGGTCCATGCTCTGCTCGATTCGACTCAATTCGTTGGCAACCCTGTTGATAGTTACTACAATTTTAATCTCGATTATTAGACCTAGTAGCCATTGCAAGATCGACGACCGAGATTTACTCAACCCAAAGGATCAACAGTCTGAGTTGGTGTACATATTTTTTTCTGAACACTTGTACCCAACATAACCTACCAGCCCAAGGCGAAAACCTGCAGGTCCAAAACTGAACTAGACATAACATGTTCTTGAACCGAAACCTTCTTGGATACAAATTTATTCAAAAAAATCCAATCAATCACTATTTTTAACTCAACGTTACTCAATCCCACTATCCTCAATATTATTAATATAATTACATAATACAATTCAATCATTCTCACACATTACATCAACTTTAATTCACTGTTCATTCACTCACATGATTTTAACTAATCATCACTTTACATTATCTCTCTCCTACTTTTACATCAAATCAACTTTAATTATTTTATTTTAATATTATTATAATATAAACTCAAAATCTCGCTAACAACTAATCATCTTTTTTTTTTTTCAAAATAAACCATATCAAACAATAAAATCTAAACAAAATCAAAACATTTTGTAACCAAGCATCCCATAGCGTCCTGGCGATTTTGTGCAATAAACCCCTCTCAATTTCGATGCAAGATTTCATAGACAGTTAGCCCATGCAATGGGTCGGGCACAGAACCTGCCGGTGGAGCCCAGTGGCCATGTTTTCAGACTAAATAAGAGATAGGCCCAACTATTCTCCACTAGTCATGTGGCAGCAGTTATATATGCCTATGGCCCTATGGGCCACATTTTGATTATTATAATATCAGTCTGTTAAATTCATTAACTGTTACATTAAAAATTTAAAACAAGTTGCACGGTGATATTCTTACTTAAAGAAAAAAACATAGAATTTTTTGTTTATAATTATTAAATTTTTTAAAAAAAATTAAAAATTATATAATTATTATTTAAAATAATATTCGCCAAAAAACTTATCTTTCTATATCACAATAATTTTACTAATTCATATTTTATAATGAATTAAATTGATAAATAAATTTTTTTAATTGATGAATATATTTATTATTTGTAAGTAATGTTGATTCAATTATTTAATTTTAACTATATTGATAAATATATATATATATATTTATATTTGTTTATATACGTAATATGAATCATTGAATCTCATTAAGAAATGAGTAATTTGATATGTGGTATATAAAAATTTGAGAATAAAAAAAAAATGATTAACTTTTAAAATAATTTATAATTTAGATTATTTAAGCATTGAAAGTCATATAGATAGAAGTTCAAATTTGACAATTGGAAGCACCAAAAATTTACATGTAGTTTAAATAACACAGAATGTTGACAAGTAGCTCGAGAATTTATTTATTTAATTTTAAAGGGATTAAAAAAAGGAAGAAAAAGAAAAAAGAGACAAAATTGCAATTTACTCTTTTGAAAGAGAAAAAACAAGTTAGGTAAAGCCTTAAGTTAAGTAACGTCTTTTTCAGTCTATCGAATAAAATATCATGCAATTTCCCTCGTTTTATTTTATCGTCTTCCTTCCATTTCAGATCCAAGATTCCATTTACCATTTTCCGGACTGATTTCAGCTATACCTCCGTTTCCATTTATGGATCATTAGAGAAGAAAACGTTGATTTGGTGTTTCATTTTTTCTTTTTTGCTCTCGATAGCGACTGTTGGGTTTACCTCTTTTGTCGGGCCCTTCATTTTCGTCGGTACTGTGCTATCCGCACAATTATTAGGTTGTTTTTTTTCTGGGTTTTCCTTCCTTTTTTGTATTGTTCCTTCGTTCTAACAGAAGATTTTGGATGAGCTCGGAGGAGCTCGAGCCCAACCCTGAATTTTTTTTCTCTTTTTCTTTTTTTTTTTTNCAATTAAATTTTCGTATTTTCTCTCCTTTTCATTTCTGATTCAATTTGAGGAGTTTTATAGCGATAGGTCGATTTCCAGCTTTTATATGGTTTTGATCTGAGACTCGCGCCGGAGAAAGAGAAGTGTATTATTGGCGGTGGGTCCCACCGGACCAGGCGAACGAGCAATGGCCGCCGAGCTGAGGCGCGGGATCTCGCGACAGCTGTCGACGGGATCGGTGACGAAGAGCGGCAACTTCAGCTTCGGGCGGCAGAACTCCATGGACCCGCGCCGCAACAACTTCCGGTTTAGCTTCGGGCGGCAGTCCTCGCTGGACCCCATCAGGCGGACACCCGTGGCTGACGACGGCGGGAGCGGCACAGGGGCCGAAGGGGATCTGGCCGTGCCGGAGAATCTCGACTCGACTATGCAGCTTCTGTTCATGGCGTGCCAGGGGGATGTCGAGGGGGTTGCAGACTTGCTCGATGAAGGGGTTGACGTTAACAGCATCGATCTTGATGGCCGGACTGCCCTTCATATTGCCGCCTGTGAGGGCCACGTGGAGGTTGTCAGGCTTTTGTTGAGCAGGAAGGCCAATATCGATGCTCGGGATCGGTGGGGTAGCACGGTTAGACTTGTGCATATGTTTTTCTTTTTTTACCGATTTTATTTCTTTTGGTTTCTTTTAATTTTCAGCTGCATTACTTGAATTTGGTGTATTACTGAATATGGTGTTGGGCAAAAATGGGGAGATGAAGGAGGTTATTTTGTTAGGATTGGTTTAAGGTATAGATGATTGGGTTATGTTATTGTGATTTATATGATTTTTGTCCTTGCATTATTTGGGTTTTCGTTTGGGGTAGCACGGTTAGACTTGTGCATATGTTNCAATTTTTAGCTGCATTACTTGAATTGGTGTGTTTCTGAATATGGTGTTGGGCAAAGTGGGGAGATGAAAGAGGTTATTTTGATAGGATTGGTTTAAGGTACTGATAATTGGGTTATTACTTAGGATTTATATGATTGTGGTCCTTGCATTCTTATTTTGGCTTGGCGTATTTGGGTTTTCGTTTTAAGTTAATCAGGTGATATACAATTGGATGCTCTTATGGTTGATCTGTGAGTGTGGGGGTATGCTAGAATGCCATATATGTGTGTTCTTTAAGATAGAGATTGATCTCCATTGACATACGAGGAAAAAACGTCCAAAAATCCGTAAATGGTGATTATATCGAGTTTTTTTATGTGCAAATTTAGTTCGCAAACATTGGTCTGATTTCTGGATCTGCAAATGTGATAAATGCTCGAAATGGGAAAAGGGAGTAAAACTGTTCTTGCACCAACATTTATGTGATATATAACCTGCAGTTCTTGAAAATTTTCAGAGAGATGCTAATAGAGAGACTGTTGTTCCTATTATCTTGCAATAAAATTAGATGAAATATACCAAGCTACCATCCTTATGGAATTTAAAGAAAAGATAGCTTTCTTACTGATATTGCTTGGGTTTTCCTTGACAGGCTGCCGCTGATGCCAAATATTATGGAAACATTGATGTTTACAATATTTTGAAGGCTCGTGGGGCCAAAGTTCCAGTAAGTACGAAATAATTGCTTTGCGTGGAAGCTTCTTTCCTCTTTGCTGGAGACTAATACTTTTATTTTTTTTTTGGTCACTCCTAGAAAATCACTAAGACTCCAATGACAGTTGCAAATCCTCGTGAAGTCCCTGAGTATGAGCTCAATCCATTGGACATTCAAATACGAAGAAGTGATGGTATCTCTAAGGTGATCCTCAATTTTCCGGCATAAAATTTGAGCATTAAATTGTTTAGCCTTTTGGCAATTGATTTCAGAAACTGTTGTTATTGAAGGAAAGGACTGCACTTTTCATCTACCTATTTGCTTTAGTAATTAGATAGTTTATAACATTTATTGCGATTTTCTGTGAACAGGGATCTTACCAAGTTGCTAAGTGGAATGGCACAAAAGTTTCGGTAAAGATACTCGACAAGGATGGCCATGCAGACACTGATTCTATGTATTATATATAGCCTCCATTGTCCGCTAATTTAATTTCTCGAACCTTTCAGTGCTTATATACTCTTCTTACTCATTATCTATATCTTTTGTGACTAATAAAACTTACTTCCCCATCGTATTTTACTACTTACATTTGAATGAACTCAGCTTTAACATCTGTTGGGATATTGATTATGAAACTTTTAAATGCACATACCGTTAATCAAATAAAATTGAATTTATTTCATTAATCATGCTTGCTTTCCATCATGTCATAGAATGAACAAAATCTGTGACCAGCAAGTTTTCTCACTTCGAAGTTCGAAGCTACAAAATAAAATATATATATAAAGAAAAAAATAAAAAAACTTAGGATTGAGCTATTTACTCTTTTAATTGTCGTTTTTTTATACTCCATGCAGAAATGTATTCCGACATGAGTTGACCTTACTAGAAAAAGTTCGGCATCCTAATGTCGTTCAATTTATTGGTGCTGTCACACAAAACATGCCTATGATGATTGTTTTGGAGTATCATTCAAGAGTAATGGCCTTTCCTTTTTTGCTCCCTCTCTTTCCTTGTGCTTACCTATAGACCTTTTATATTCTAATTCCTGTTTTTTATTCTAATATTCAGGGAGATCTTGCTAGTTACCTTCAGAAAAAGGGGCGCCTCTCCCCATCTAAAGCATTAAGATTTGCTCTTGAGATTGCCAGGTAATAAGTATTTTTTGGAATATATTTAATTTGTCTGCTCTTTCAGATGCTAGCTTTTTCCCCATTTTTTCTTATCTTTTTTCTGCTCTCCTTCTCTGTCCATTTGTCGTTTTCCTTTTCTACTCTCGTTCTTTTTCTTCTTTTGTGAGGTTACATTCTAAAAATTCCAAATGATATATTTTGTCTGCAGAGGCATGAATTATCTTCACGAATGCAAGCCTGAACCAATCATACATTGTGATTTAAAGCCAAAGTAAGGCAACTAAATGCTTTAGTTGATCATATTATCTAAAAAAAATATTATCTTTACTTATATGTAGNCTCTTTTAATAATTGCAATTTTGGTAAGGTGCCAGAAATGTTTTGCTCGATTTTGGAGGGCAGCTGAAAGTTGCAGGGTTCGGTGTTATTAGGCTGTCAATAATCTCACCCGACAAAGCAAAATTGGTGCAGCCTGAGGCAATAGATAGTTCAAGTGAGTCATTTAAGTTACTAAAAATGTTTATAACCCTTGGAGAGCTTTGCCTTATATTTTAAACTACTGTAACACAATGAAAAAGTGTTTTTATCTGTTGTATAGGTTTCTACGTGGCTCCTGAAATTTACAAAGATGAAGTATTTGACAGAAGTGTGGATGTGCACTCTTTTGGTGTTATGCTTTATGAGGTAATGCTTTTGTTCTGCGCTTTTTCGTGATAATCCTAACTGTTTGCCATTTGAAACTCGATTTTCTTTTATGTTTCTATGATTTTCCTAGTATTCCTAGTGATTCATTTTTTGTGTGACTTCTTATTACTCAACGGTAGACACATTCTATAGTTCATATATGACATTCTAGAATTAGACTTCCACGAATTTATCAAGATAGTATTTTTTTTTTAGCTGCCACAAACAAATTTCTTTCTTATCTAATTTTCTTGGAGAATTGCCATTTAGTAGTTGTGAGATATATAATACGAATAACTTCCATTTTTGTGCCGTGCTTGTTGTATTTGAGTATTTCAGATGATGGAGGGAGCACCGCCATTTTCTTCCAAGTCTCCTGAGGAAGCTGCAAAATTAATTTGTTTGGAAGAAAAGAGACCTTCATTCAAGTCAAAATCCAAATCTTTTCCCTTAGAACTAAAAGAGTAAGTTGTAATGCTTCATACTTAAAATGCATCTATTTGTTTTTGCTAAGAAAATCATAATACATGTACTTAAGATGGGTAAAATCTTTCAAGACGAATCTTGCAAGTTTTCCGTACACGTATGTCATTTATTTCTCGTTTTAGTAAGGAAAAAGCTTCAGACTTTTACCTAGTATACGAGAAGTCGGTATTACTATGTGCAGATATGTTTTACTTCTTTTTACTGCATTACCATTATTTTTTGTATTTTCCAGCTGCAATGAGGTTGCTACTTTTAATGTGCCTAGCATCATTTAAGTTCTACACGAGAACGCGTTTTGATTTTAAGGCTATGTTTGGTAATGAAATAAGCTAAATTTTAGCTTATTTGGTTAGCTTATAAGTTTCCTGTATTCAAATAAGCTTCGTTTGGTAGGACGAGTTTTTTTTTTAAAAAGCTCGAGCTTATCTCATAAGCTTTTTTGGGTAGCTTTTCAAATAAACTCGTTGACATTTTTATTTCAGTTAGCTTATCAACTAATTTTAACTAAATACTTTTATCGTATAAGTTAGCTTTTCGGCTATAAGTCATAAGCTATAAGCTATAACCAAGAGAATCACTTATCAACTAGCTTACAAGTAGTTTTACCAAACATAGTCTAAGCCATTCAAAATCACAAAATGTTGAGGATTATTTAAGACAATTATGAAATATTATTTTCTGCATAATTAAACTTTGGCGTGTATCACAGGTTAATCGAGGAATGCTGGCATCCGGATTGTGTTGTGAGGCCCACATTCTCTGAGATCATCATTCGACTCGATAAAATCGTCATGAATTGTTCTAAACAAGGATGGTGGAAAGACACTTTCAAACTCCCATGGTTTGCTCACGCGCTATCTTTTTTTCTTTCGTTTTTTTACATGCTAATTTCATTCACTGTCAAGATGTGATTATTATTAAAAAAAAAAAAAAAGTAACTACTAATGATACACGAACAAAATTAAGACTCGTTTTTTGACTAACTATTAATCGGAAAAAAAAATGGATGCAATTTTTCGACTAACTATTAATCGATCACTGTAAAGAGGATGAAGGGAGGTAAAGCAATGGGCCCTGATGGTATCTCCATTGAGGTGTGTAGATGCTTGGGCGCCAGAGCGTTAGCATGGCTAACTAAACTTTTTAACCTCATTTTCCGGTCAAACAAGATGCCTGATGAATGGAGGAGATGTACTTTAGTACCGATCTTCAAGAACAAGGGAGATGTTCAAAGTTGTGGTAACTACCGTGGGATTAAGTTGATGAGCCATACGATGAAGCTCTGGGAGAGGGTTATCGAGCATCGCCTACAACGAGTGACGAGTGTGACCCAAAACCAATTTGGGTTCATGCCTGGAAGGTCAACCATGGAGGCGATTTTTCCTAATACGTCAGTTGACGGAGAGATATAGGGACCAAAAGAAGGACTTGCACATGGTCTTTATCGACCTTGAGAAGGCTTATGACAGAGTACCGAGAAATGTCATGTGGTGGGCCTTAAAAAAGTATAAAGTCCCATCTAAGTACATTACCCTCATCAAGGATATGTACAAGGATGCGATGACGTGTGTTCGAACATGTGGGGGCGACACCAGCGACTTCCCAATTAAAATAGGACTACACCAGGGGTCAGCATTGAGCCCTTATCTATTTGCCTTGGTGATGGATGAGGTCACAAGGGACATACAAGGTGATACCCCTTGGTGTATGCTCTTTGCTGATAATGTGGTGCTAGTTGACGAGAGTAGAGCAGGGGTAAATAGGAAGTTGGAGCTATGGAAGGACGCGTTAGAGTCGAAAGGCTTCAGACTTAGTAGGACGAAGACTGAGTACATGACGTGCGCTTTCAGCATGGCTTCACATGATGATGGTGACGTTACCCTTGACGGGCAAGTGGTGGCCAAGAAGGAGACTTTCCGGTATTTGGGATCGATGCTACAAAAGGATGGCGGCATTGATGCTGATGTTTAGACATGTCAAAACGGGCTGACGGGGCGGGCCGGCCCGCAACCCGCCAAAACCCGCTGTTTGGCGGGGCGGGGCGGGCCTTCAAATGGCCAGCCCGGCCCACCCCTCCACGGGCCGCGGGCTAGGCGGGCTGGCCCGCCACAATATATATAAAAAAAAAAATTGGGCCTGGAGAGCTCCGCCACGTTTTATTCTCTCTTAGTCTTAGCCCACTTTTTTTCATTTCCCTTCTCTCTCTTCTATCTTCCTCCCCAAGTCCCCATTTTCATTTTTCTCCGCAGCCCTTTTCTCTTCTTTTACTTTCTCTCTCATCCTCTTCTCTCTTTTTTTTTCCCTTCATTTCCCACCCCGCACTCTTGCAGCCCCTTTTTTCTCACTCATTTCCTGATTCCAGAAAAAAAAAATATGAAGTTTATGTCTATGTTTTGGTTATCAAAATCGTCTCAACTGCCGGATCCGGCCGAGTACGGCGGCAACGGAGAGTGGAGGACGGCGACAAGCAACGGGCTTGGACGCCATTAATGGCGGATGAATTAAAAAGGAAAAAAAAAACTTCGACATAGTTGAAAAGTTGGAATTTTTTAAATTGGCGGGCTGGCCCGCGGCCCGCCGGGCTCGACCCGCCAAAACCCGCGGGCCAGCCCGCTTAGGCCCGCTCTTTGGCGGGCCTGTAAAACTGCAGCCCAACCCACCTATTAGGCGGGGCGGGGCGGGCCGGCCCGCGGGCTCAGGCCCGTTTTGACAAGTCTACTGATGTTAGGCATAGAATTGCAGCCGGTTGGTTGAAATGGCGTCAGGCGTCGGGCGTTCTCTGTGATAAGAGGGTGCCACAAAAGCTAAAAGGTAAGTTTAGGACGGCGATCTGCCCGGCGATGCTATATCGGTGTTGAATGTTGGCCTACAAAAAGGCAACATGTCCAACAACTAAGTGTAGCAGAGATGCGTATGTTGCGTTGGTTCTGCGGGCACACAAGACGGGATAGAATCCGGAATGAGGATATTCGAGATAGGGTCGGGGTGGCTTCAATTGAGGAGAAATTGGTTCAACATCGGCTGAGGTGGTTCGGACATGTCCAACGGAGGCCTCCTGATGCACCGGTGCGTAAGGGAGTTCTACAGCGGGTCGAGGATGTTAAGAGAGGTAGAGGTCGGCCTAAACTCACTTGGGAAGAGTCGGTTAAGAGAGACCTTAAAGATTGGAATATTTCCAAGGATTTAGCGGTGGATAGGAGCGCTTGGAGGCTCGCTATCAACGTGCCAGAACCGTGACTTTTGCTCTTTTCTCTCTCTCTCTCGTTTTTTTTTTTTCGATCTCTTCCTTTCGGTTCGAGTCTTTTTGTGTTATTCTTGAGTTTCATCTCTAGCCTACCCCGACTTGCTTGGGACTAAAAGCTATGTTGTTTGTTTGTTTGTTATTAATCGATCACTGTTTTGTATGCAGGAAATGAGGGATATGCAACCGGACAATGTGAATATATACATCGATATATCTCCATTATGAAAAGAATAAGTCCATCGACCGAGCTCGGGTGAAGAATAACGGGAGATGATGGACTATTATTGTAAGCTGTCATGTTGTAAACTTGTAATATTATCTAATCTACGGAGGATATTTTGGAGGGAGAAAGCTTTGAGAGAGATGAAAAGAAATAACAAATAAGATGTACATTGTTTATGTTACGAATCCATTTCCATAAGAAGGTTGTTTTTCTGGAAAGGTGCATTGTAAATCTAAAGTTGTAACAATATACTTTTAAAAATCAAATGGCAAATTTGCAATGCAATCCTATCTGGGCTATTTATCTTTAATGGGCAAGTAAGTTTAGCCAAACATGCTAATGGACTTCTGGATTTTCTAACCAAGTGAAGTTGATCAAAATACTTTAATTTATCATTTGGAGTTGCAACTATATATATGACCACCGGCTGATGAACACCGGTTGTGACCTGCTAACAATGGAATTGCAACCCGACATTGAGGTTCAAAACCGCGATCGTAACACATGAAAAAATGGATAATCTTTCGGTTCATCTTTTTTTTTTAAAAAAAAAAAGAACAAGTGATTCATCGCTAATTATAATTTTATCTCATATTCATTCATAGGAAAAATTGTATATGAGAAACTGCTTCACCTGATTTCCTACAATTGGAGCAAGACCTTGTTACAAGAAATTTTATAATCGCAATATTGAATATTGATAAATGACTTGAACAAAGAACCGATGAAATAACAAGACATTATTAACAATAAATTTTATAATCGTATTGAATATTGATAAATGGAACAAACCTAAAACGACTCGATTCATTTACAGTTTTCTATATGATACATGTAACAAACCTAAAACGACTCGATTCATTTACAGTTTTCTATACGGTAAAAGATGAAGTAAAAGTGTAATGGAATTTAAACTGTTAATTGTCCTACAATTTTTTATTAAACGGGTTTTCACTTTCAAGTGCCTCTACAATTTTCTATTAAACGGTTTTCACTTTCAAACACAAAAAGACAAGTGTGGAATACTGGGCATATTCATATTTTGTTTTGTTTTTTTATTTTTATATATTTTAGTTTAATGTTATAAAATAAATTAAATTTACTATGAAATAAATTAAATACTGTAAAAATATATTTTATTAAACTATTCTATAATCAACCTAATACATACTTTAACTAAAACAATTATTTATAATAAATGGTTCGACAAATCATATGGCTATGAATCAAAGAAGAAATTTATTTTCTCTGGCTTAAAATATAAATTAAAAATTTTCCACAATCTTAGTGAATGTATTCATAAATACTTAGAGACATGTTTTAGTAAATTCATACAAATAATTTTGTATTTATTTATATTTGTATTAGCTTATATAATGATAATTTAAATAGTTAAATGTGTAAAATAATATATCTAATGAAGTTATAGTTTTCCATTAAAATAATTTAAAACAACGAGGATAAAAGAAAAATATTCAGAGTAAAATATAGTGCGAATTTGAATAGCAAAAAATCAAAAACTAAAAATTTCCAAAAGTCCAAACTGAACCACATCGTTATGGAAAAAAAAAACGAATCAAAACTGCACCAAAATTTTTGGTTTCGGTACGGTTTGGTTAACTGCAAGTAAAAAAAAATGTAAGAGCAAAAGAAAAAGTTTTCAAAAAAAAAAATTAACCAAACTAAAATTTGTTTGTGTAATATATATACCTATAATATAACATAAACTTTATAAGGTGCTAAATCACACAAAATTTTTGCGATTTTTTTAAATCTTAACCACATTATAAACCATAATCTTAAAATATTGAACCGCACCACATCTCACCGAATATATCGATTCGGCTCAGTCTTTCGATTTGGAATTTTAGACTCATAAAGTCATAATTTGCTCACCCTATCTAGAGATGGCCTAATACTGTATTGACCAATTCTAACTCCCACTACACCCTCGCACACCTGATCCCAACCCAAACTCTTTCTTTTTGGCCGCGTTCTTTCTTTCTCCCCACTCTAAAACCTCTCCCAAAACCCTGTAACCCAAACACCAAGATAGCCCAACAGCTAGCAATATATACAGCCTATTACAAAATTCATATGTATATATATGTTTATGAGCATATATAGATTCAATCAGCATTTCACTTTTGTTGATCGATTCGGCGTCGCCACCGTTTTCGACTGTATGTCCTCTCTTAAGTGTTCTGATTTCTATATGTGTTGTCGAGTTTCTTGAAAAATTCCAGTCGGAGTGTGAATTTGGGGTTTCTTGTGATGCGAGCGAACGAGTGTTTTTAAGATCGTTGGTGTTAATATTATCGCAGGGTGTTGGTTATGGAATAGGTTGATCGGTTTTATCTTTTTGACATTTTTTTGTTGAAATTCAATTTATGGTGTTTTCTGTTTCATTATGTTGAGATATATCGTTTGTGGTCTCTCTGTTTGTATGGACACAAATGATTCTGTGACCCGTGTTGCCATAATAAGGTCAGCTGCTGGGCAGGATTGGAAACAATGATACTTAATGAATGGTGAAGTATGTAGTTTTTTGAAAAGGAAGAATTTATTGAATGATGTTTTTTCGTAATGTTGAAACATGAGAAAAGAAAATATGGATGGCAGGTGTATATAAACAGGCTTTTAGAAAGATTGGATGATAGGCATGTATAAGATAGCTAAGGGATTTGTTAGTGAATCTGGTTAGTTACTTAAAGTGGGGCACCAGACATGATGTTAATTGTTATATCACTTAGTATAGCTCTATGGTTTCCTTATATCTCAATCAGCACAGGTCTTTCAATGTCCTTGCTCGTACTTATTGTTATACAATATCGTTAATGATGGGCCGAAATGAAATTATTGCGTTATATTTCATGTATTTGGTTTGGTTGGACCAATTTTCTGACAAATGGCTGACAGCTGACTTTCTGTAGAGTCTAGTTTCTGCTCTCTTTCTCACCATGGCTGTTTAATATATGTTATATGAAGTATAGGAGTGGGTATGTAATATATTATTGCAGTTTACCGGTGATTTTTCTATCTAGATTAGTTGGTCCAGGAAGTGTGACTTTGATTTTCTTTGTGCAGAGAAGAAAACTTGGCGATGGCTTCTCGTCCAATTTTGCGGAGGAGAAAGATTTTTTCTGAGTACTTGAATTCCCATGTTCTTTCGGTTCAAAGTTTCCAAAGCTTGTGCAGGGGGCAACCATTTCAGTCCCTCGATTCTCGTTCTTATACCACCTCCATCACAGGCCCTGTCACCCAAAATACAAATGAATTGAGAGAGAGTGATCAAACTTCCGATCCGAGCAATAAATCTCTGGATGTCACAACCATAGGAATCTTTAGGCCTAAACCTACTGGAATTACACCATTCATATATGGAAATGCCAGGTCAGATTTTCATTGTCTGATGGGTGTCAGGTTTATGTCACAACAAAGATGTTTCGCTTCCACAGCAACTGCAAAGAAGCCTAATTTGGGGAATGAAGACGAGGATAACGACGAAATGGAAGCGAAAAAGAGAAAGGAAGCTTCCCCAGAAGAATGTGATCAAGCTGTTGTTGGACTGAGTACTGCAAAGGCCAAAGCAAAAGCCAAAAAACTGCAAGAATCCAAAAGCTTCTATACTCCAGTTTTGAAGAAGATATGGGCCACATTTCTTGGTATTGGTCCAGCTTTAAGAGCAGTGGCTTCAATGAGCAGGTCTGTATTTCTTTTTTTTTTATATATACATTAATTGTGCATCATCACATCTCTATTGAGCCGAGCCAATCATCAAATAATAAATTTTAATATATTCAGAAATATTTTTAATATAAATAAATACATATTTAAATTTAATAGATATCTATAAGTTATTGGATATTGTCTATAGTCATCGTTTGTACCGTCAAAGCTCATTTTTTTTCCTTGATATAGGTGGGAGGAGATTTTTTTTATTTTCAAAATCTAATGATATCTAGAAAACTTGGAAAACTAAATGATTTGTTCTTTATGGTTGGTTTTTTCTGGACTTGCAGGGCAGATTGGGCCAAGAAACTCGTCCATTGGAAGAATGAATTTGTGTCTACATTACAGCATTACTGGTTGGGTAGTAAGCTTTTGTGGGCTGATGTGAGAATCAGTTCGAGATTATTGCTGAAACTTGCCGGAGGGAAGAGTCTCTCCAGAAGAGAGAGGCAACAGCTCACAAGAACTACTGCTGATGTTTTTAGGCTTGTTCCATTTGCTGTTTTTATCATAGTTCCATTCATGGAATTTCTGTTGCCTGTGTTTTTGAAGCTCTTTCCCAACATGCTGCCATCAACCTTCCAGGACAAGATGAAAGAACAGGTAAAATGCATTTCAAAGTTGATTGGGTTTTATATGGGTGGATATATTGAGTAACTTTGTCTATCCTTTCAATGTGCTTTTCACTTTGTTCACACTTCAAAGCAGCCAATGTTATTGGCTGTCCCACTGGATTCTTGTTATGCACTCTTATTGAAGTAACTTCTAGATAAGTCATATTATTAAATATCAAGGTAGCTGATACTGAGTGTTTTACTTAAAATGTCTTTTTTTTAAATAAACAAATACTGTGCTCTGTTTATCTTTTACAACTAGGATGCCAATGTTATTGCATGCTTCTTCTCCATTTGTTTTCTGAAACATCTGTAGTTTTCCTTTTCTCTTGATTGCTTATATCTTCTAGCTCTCCCCAGTTGGAATGTTATTTTACTGCAAGTGTTATTGTAGGAAGCATTAAAACGGAGGTTGCACGCCAAGATAGAATATGCAAAGTTTCTCCAAGAGACTGTCAAAGAAATGGCAAAAGAGGTGCAAAATTCACGGAGTGGAGAAACTAAGAAGACAGCTGAGGACCTTGATGAATTTCTGAATAAGGTCTGTGCAATTTCAGCATTATACCAATGGAAAGGTCGTTCATAAGAAGTGTATCTTATATAAGATGATCTGTTCAATACAGGTCAGAAGTGGTGCCCGTGTCGCAAACGAGGAAATTTTGGGATTTGCTAAGCTGTTCAATGATGAACTCACACTAGATAATATTAGCAGGTTTGTATGTAATTTTGTGGTTGTAGTTATATCAAGTTCCTTGTAATTGTAATACATTATCAATTTTATTATTATTATTTGATATGGTGTTTCAAATTTATGTTATTAACAGACCACGCCTTGTAAATATGTGCAAGTACATGGGTATCAGCTCTATTGGAACAGATGCTTATTTGCGTTATATGCTACGGAAGAGATTGCAGAGGTATGCCATTTCACATTCTGTGTGAAGGCGTGTATTAGTTTGCTGGAAAATGGTGGTTTCTGTTTATAAAGTGCAACTATTAGTTTGCTGGCAAATTAATATCACTAAGACAACTCTATTGGAAATGATTAAGGGAGGAAAGCAAGTATTATGGATCTTTATTTTCATGATTTGCTTAGAACTTGTTGATATAAAGTTGGTCAAGCAGGATGAAATTAATTCTTTAAGAACATCTCTTAATTTCTTTTTCATTTGATAGTTCTAATCTAACAGGTGCATATAACACTGATATTCCTGTGTTCCTCTAATTTTCACAATATAATCCATTATCTTTTGTTATAGAAACTAACACAATTTATAGGTTTTAGCGAACTTTTTTTTTTTTTTNCCTTATTTGCATGTTTAATTGGGGTCAATTGTGTTCTTGTTTAAGGATTAAAAATGACGACAAATTGATTCAAGCTGAGGGTGTCGAATCTCTATCAGAAGCTGAACTTCGTGAAGATTGTCGTGAGAGGGGCATGCTTGGAGTGCTTTCTGTGGATGAAATGCGCCAACAGGTTTGTGTGGCCGAATATTTGTACAACTGATAGTATCATGTTTATGGTTACAATATGAGATTCCAATTGTAACCTTCCAGTTTTTTCTGTGCTTATAATCCCCTCCCTTAGCTTGATCCTTATCTATTAAAAAAGATGGAGTGTTTTGTGCATTAGAAATTTATATGCCTGGGTAAAGTTATCTTAATTAACTATTGGTCATCTTCTTCTTTCCTTGAGTTCAACTTCTCTCTCTTGCATGATTTAATTGCTAATGATGATATTATTTGCAGTTGCGAGATTGGCTAGATTTGTCACTAAATCATTCTGTTCCGTCTTCACTTCTGATCCTTTCCAGGTAACTTGATTGGTCCCCAACTTTTTTCCTCCTTTCTCATTTTGGAAATTATCATAATTGATTCTTAGATTTNTTTTTTTTTTTTTTTTTTTGGTTTCTGCAGGGCCTTTACAGTATCAGGTAAGGTGAGGCCCGAAGAAGCAGTTCAAGCTACATTATCGTCACTCCCTGATGAAGTTGTGGATACTGTGGGAATTACATCACTGCCATCTGAAGATTCTATTTCTGAAAGGAGGAGGAAGTTAGACTACCTCGAAATGCAGGAGGAACTTATCAAGGTTGATTATTTTATTTTTAATTCTTTTTTTTTTTATATTTTTTTTGTTCCCATGTAAAATTAGTTGATCTTAGTCTAGAAATGTACGCTTTATGATTTTTTCTTCCTATTTTTCACAATAGGAGGAGGAAGAGAAAGAAGAGGAAGAACTAGCGAGGAAAAAGGAATCTTCTGCTGGAATAGAAGATGATGTGGCTTTGAAAGAGATGCTCATTTCAACTGCAAAAGAAGCACAAGAACGAGCTAGAGAAAAAGCAGTGGACAAACAAGAACAGCTTTGTGAACTTAGTCGTGCATTAGCTGTTTTGGCTTCTGCTTCTGTAATAAATGAATTTCTTACTCTGAGCTTCTTCTTGGATACCTATATTGGCATTTCATATTTATTATTCCCTGAACGACCCTTTCATCTCGATTTATTCTGCAGTCAGTGAGCAGGGAGCGTGAAGAGTTCTTGAGGCTTGTCAATAAAGAGGTAAATTAACTAATCACCTGGGAATAATCTGTATATGAATGTGAATACTCAGCTTTGTAGGATACTTTTGTAAAACTCTTAAATATTATTCTTTCACTATGGTATGTTGCTTTTTGACGATTTATTTCTTTATCATATTGTGGTCTGTAGTAATTGATAGAGATTACTATTTGTTTTGTGATGATCATTAACTTGAGTAAATTCCATTTGGGGGAAATGATTTTACATAATTACACAAATATCCATTATTTTACACAGATATGTTTATGAAAAATTATTTTAATTTTTGCCTCTGTTGCGGACCAGTGAACTCATGACTCTTAATATCCGTTATTTTTTCTATGATAAAATGTTCAAATCCATGTTTGGTCATTAAGATCTTATTCAATCATGTACCATGTTGTAACCAAAGTTCATAGCTCTCGATTCTTGGGAATTTAGTATATTTACTAATGCCTTTTGTTTTCAAAAATTGCTGATTTATCTCTGGCATTGGTTTCTATATATATGCTCATTGTAACTCGTGATCTTTGTCAGATTGAGCTTTACAATAGCATAGTGGATAAAGATGGAACAGATGGTGAAGTGGAGGCAATGAAGGCATATAAAGCCGCTCGTGATGAAAGTGAAGATGGTGCTGAGGTCTCTGAGCATAACGTCGTCTCATCTGCTCTTATAGACAAGGTATGCTTTCCTCACATCGGGAATTTAAAAAAAAAAAACGAGAATCGGCTGAGTTTTGTATGTTCAGCCTAAATCGTTATTATTATTATTATTATTATTATTATTATTATTATTATTATTATTATTATTATTATTATTATTATTTGTTCAATCCAGGTTGATGCTATGCTTCAAAATCTTGAGAAAGAAATCGATGACGTGGATGCAAAAATTGGTGATCGTTGGCGTATACTCGACAGGTAGATATTTATACCTTTATGGTTATCTTGCTGCATTTTTTTTTCCTATGCTTTTACGATCTTATTTCTCGATTATTCTCTCATCTTTTACTATCTCAGTTTATAACAAAAGTATCTATACTACCATTAATCCTCAGTCAATTTCGTTACTAAACCAGTAGAGGATCGACTCGAATATTGGATAAGCTTAAAATTAGGTTAACCCAATACACCTTATTGTAAAGCTCTTACCGTAATCGGAGGATCTTTCTATATATATATATTTGGTATGAAGGGCTGATCAAAGTTATCTATCAGTCTGCATATTAACCAAAAACCAAGCTTATATATATCGGTCATCTTAATGTTTGTGCATTAAATTATAAGGATAGTATTCAGTTACTGTTAGGTATTTGATTTTCATATGCAAAAATTTTGGGAAAAATAACCATATATGAATTCTCATTTTCACAGAGATTATGACGGTAAAGTAACTCCTGAAGAGGTTGCAGCTGCTGCTATGTATTTGAAAGACACTTTAGGCAAAGAAGGGGTGCAAGAACTCATCAGTAATCTCTCTAAAGATTCAGGTGAATTATTTTTTTGTGCATTTTGAGTCCTTATGGTTTAATGCTGTAGCAATTTTAGTCCCAAGTTTCCGACTTTTCGCCTTTTGGTTTGTGATTTAATGTTTTGCTGCAATTTTAGAAATTGCAACAAAATTTTAAATTACAGGACTGAAATTGCATCAAAATTTTAAATTATAGGACTTAAATTGCTAATCAGAAATCTATAAATTTGGGAATTTGTTGCAATTTCAGTTCTCAAAAGGACTGAAATTGCAGCAAAATATTAAATCATAGTACCAAAAGGCAAAATGTTTAAATCTTGGGACTAAAATTGTATGGCGTTAAATCAGCAGGACTAAAAATACAATTTAGCCGACTTCATTTCTTGTGGATAATCGATTTTGCTACACAACAATTTTTACTCTACCATTTTCACATATTTCCGTGTATGATGTATTGTTGTTCTCTTTGAATTCCAGATGGGAAGATACTTGTTGAGGATATTGTGAGATTGGGCAGTCGAGCTGAAGGTGGCAACTCAGCCGAGCCTGAGGAAATGTAGAGTGTTTAGAAAACGAGTTACTGTGTTTTCGCCTTTTTTGACCAGTACCACTTCTCGATTGCGTTTTAACTCGGTATTTTGTCGAGAGGTTTAACTTTGTTAGGGGATCCTTTTCGATATTCGACCGTTTTGGAATGGAATCTCGAAAGTATTATCGGATTATTGTTCGTGTTCTAATTATTCGTAGATGGAAAACAAAAAATACCTGGGCATATAGCTATATTCTTGTTTCGAGTGAGTCCCCTCTATTTTGTGTATATGAATTTGGAATAGCCTGTTTGCATACTGGTTACTACCAAAGTGACAATGTTGCAGTTGGATATGAAGAAAAGGTTCATTTTTCATGAAGAAAAAATTCCCTTAAAAGGGTGCAATTATATATATATTGTTCCTCTGAATACAAATAGAAGTTTGTTTTAATTTATTAAATTTTTTCTTCAAAATTATATTGTTATTTTTATCTAAATGACATTCATCACCCGTAAGACTGNGGTAAGTTTTTATATGTATGAATGTAAGGTTAAATATCATTTTGATTAATTTAATATGCCATATATGAATTTTTTGATACGAAATTAAAATAAGAGCTCGTTTGCTTGTAGAGACAGGATAAGATAAAATCTATCATGAGAGGTGAGATTGTACTGTACATATTGATTTAAACCCTTGTTTGAGAATTGTGATAATGTTTATTGAGATTAGTACTAAAGTTTGCAAAATTTCCAAAATACCCTCAAAGCAAATCAAATTAAGTCAAGCAACACTTTTTTTTTTTTTTACTTTTTCCTCTCCTTCCCACCGTTTTCTTCTCCCCACCCCTGTTCTTTCTTCTTCTTTCTCGTTTTTGCTCTTTCTAATTTCATCGTTTTTTTATTCCTTCTCCTACCAACAACAATTTATCGGCGGCGAACGGTAGTCAACGCAATTTTGATGGATGTATTGGTACAAATATGATTTACCTTTTCTTAAAATAGGGTTTTATTCTCTAAAATTTGGGTCCAAATATGAATTTGAGGTTTTCTATTCTTAAATTTTGGTACAGAAACAAATTTGGGATCTGGATTTTGCAACAGAGATATAAGATCTACTTGTGGTTTATTTTGTTTAGAATACATAAAAAAAGTGGAAAAAAAGGCAGTTGCGTGGCGGGGGCGGGGAAGAACGACGGTGAGGTTTGGACAGCGACGGCCACTGACTCGGCGATTGGTGGACGGGGAGTCGGGCGACTGCAGCGATGGGCAGGGGTTTGACAAATGTGGGATGGCTGCGAGCCTGCGACAAGCCGAACGTCATTATTATTGCTCATTTTTTAAAAAATTAAAAAACTTTGACTTGGACATTTATGTAATTTGCTCTTAAAATCAACCTTGACAAAATTTATCACACCCCCTCCCCCATGATAGTTTAGTCATGAATATTCAAGATTAGGCCAATTTTATCGCGGGCTGGAAATAAATTTTCGGGCCAGTATCATGGCTAACAAACGTATGATAAGCCAAGATAAATGGGCTTATCCTATCTAATCTTCCCAACCAAATGTGCTCTAAGTGATTAAGTTTTAAAATTTAAATTTAAATTAAGTTAGTAAAATATTTTAAAGTTTTTAAAGTACTAGCATTAGTTACTCCGAAGCAACATAATTGACACATAAAATTACATACACTAAAAAAATTGACATATGATTAAGAAGTACGAAAGGTTCAATACTTATGTTAAAGGTTTAGAATTTTGTACTAAAGATCATTTTAATAGCATTTTTCTTAAATGTAAATGTTAATATGAATTTTGTACCAAAGATCGTTTTAGTAGCATTTTTCTTAAATATAAATGTTATTCAGTCATTTGGTTTGATTTCTCATGATAAAACATTTATAATCTCATTGGAAAAACAAAATAATTATAAATATAACAAAAAATAACTAGGCTTATTAACAATATAAAGAAATATAGGTGTGTGGATCTGAATATTCGAAATATAGCGTGTGGCATCTAATATATAAAGTAAAATGCACCTCTTTATATCATCATGTATAAGATTTCCAAGTCCAGATTTTGTCACCGACCTTTGACAATACAAAGAAACAACAAATATTGTCACAAATAGTTTATATATTTATTTATAAAAAAATAATAAGTGGACAAAAAACAAAAAAAAAAGGGGGGAGTGGACCAAAATAGAAAGCACGTATTTAGTGAATACGTTTTCTGTGTAATTTAATTAAAAAACGTATTCCTTAAATACGCTTTTTACATTTTTTTTACAAAGGAAACCGTATTCACGAAATACGTTTTAAAAATAAAAAATTTAAAAACCGTATTCACTAAATACGGCCTTTCTATTATTGTCCACCCCTTACTTATTTGTTTCTTTTTTTTCCACAACTTTTCTCTATCTTTTTTTTCCGTAAAAGAATCCAAAAACTTTGTCCCGCTAAAATATTAAATTTAGTTAAAAAAAAATACATTTATTATTAATAAGATAAATTAATAGTTGCCTGACTTATAAACCACCCCACCACCCACCACCCACCGCCACCGCTCAATCCACACAGACAAAAAAGCCTTCTCTTTCTCANGGGTACCTTTTATTTGTCTTTCAAGAATCTGTACTGTACATATTAGCATTGAGTGTTAGTATTTGGACAAGGAGGTAAAAGAATTTGCGAGTTTGTTTCAGGTAAGGTTCGGATGGGCTATTTCTTGTGATGCTTTTACTGTTTACAAAATACCTTCCTTGGAATTGGGTTGTTCATGGGGTGAATGAAGTTCTCATGAAATCGTGATTTTTGGTATGAATGTATGAAAAAGATCTGATCTTTAATGTATTTCCTTTCTTGGGGTGCTTTTACAATATACCTTTTATTGGTATTGGATGTTTATGGAGTGACTGAAATTCGCATGAAATTCGATTTTCTCTGATGAACGCATGATTAAGTTTTGATTCCAAATTTTTTGTTCAGTCTACTTTGTTTTGAAGGGACTTACTGAGTTAGATACTGTCCTGACTGCCAGTTTATTTGTGGCTTGAGTAGTTCTTGCCAAAAAGACTTATTTAAAAAAAAGGAAGAAGAAGACTAATATCTCTTGGTTTTTTAGTTTTCTGTAAATGATGGGCTTCTGTTGTTGCAAGATGATTGGTTATATAAAAGCTTGCTTGATATTAATAATCACATTTTCCCATCTGGCTTTTGAATTTTCCACTAGTTATGCATCTTACAGCACGGAACGTGTAGATCTTATGCCTTAGCTACAAATAGTCGGTCATTTTTCCTTAATAATAAACCGGTGTAGCTCTGTTTAGCATAACTTGTGTTTTCATCTTTATGCAAACACATATCACATTTATAAAAATGCTTTTTTTGAGCTGTTGGAATCAGTTACGGATATTGTTTATGTTCACTTTCGATACTTTTCTTTTTATTAAAGTTTATGTTTTGTAGAAGTAAACATTTCCAAAAACTTCAAAAGAGATAATGAAATAAAATTCTTAGCCTTCTCATGAAGCGTCTTCTTTGCATCTTCAAGAGAAATCCAATTCTTGCTCTTTCCTAATGGACTCGCTTTCTTTCTTCTTTTTTTTTTTCTTTTTTTTCTTTTTCGGTTTTTGTTCTTCATTTGCTCACAAAGTTCTTTAACTCAGGGATATTAAGGCAAACTTTGCATCTAAAAACAGTAACTATCCAGTGCTTGATGGGCTCGCAAGCTATTGATATTTCGTGGCCTTCATCTATCGTCGAGTCTTTTGACACATCTTTCGATATACAGATCGAGGAAGAAAATTCGGCTGATAAGTTGGATTTTTTCGAGGATAAAACCGAATACTGCAGTTCGGATATTTCAAAACCTCCTCCATTACCGAGGAAAAAGATAACTACAGAACTTGTAAATGTTTGTTGTGTTCCAAAGGAGACTAGAGATTTATGGGAGAAGCTCTTTAAAAATGGATTTGGAGCCGATGTTCGCATAATTTCCAGTGATGGGTTATCTATTTTAGCGCATCATAGTGTTCTGGTGAGTGTGTATAATTAAATCGCTTTTACTTTAACATTTTTTTTTTTTTCCATTATCATT